TACTGTTTTGATCTGCTTGCACATGCCACTGTGAATCTTTAATGTTGTTGCCCATTATATTTTCTACTTAATACTCCTTCTGTTGAAGACTTGGACTTCCATTCGGAATTCTAATGACGCTTCTATGAGAAGTTAATCAGGCACAGACTTGAGGAGTAAAGTAGGCATTTGAAGAATCCATTGTTTCATCTTTGCTGCTATCATTTCAGTTGATTCTGACGTCTTCTATCCGCGCTAGCAGAGATGAAGAATGTATTGGACCTCGCTTCAGGAGTCCATAGGCGACATGATATAGAGCCGCACCCCTTACCATGAGGAAAACCCTTCCTCGGTCTCTTCTTGACGAGACACTTTCTAGAGATAATTTTGAGAATTCTGCTGGGACTCTTCAGAGGGCTCATGAAATATTCGCTTACAAAAAGAATGAAAATATGAAGGACCTCATTGGTCTTGATTAGTTTTCCGGAGGGATGACACCATGGCGACAGCAGGCAGTCGTTAATGTCGGTGCAGTTTCTCAGTTCACATTCGCAGATCTTCATATAGCATGGCATTTGCCCGAAGTAGAAGCAGTAGTTTTCATTTCTGAACGAGGAAAAAACAGTGTACAAATCATTGAAATCTTGTAGTGTACAAGAAGGTGCCAATGAAATACAATGTGTCAAGATTACCAAGAATTGATTGTCCAGAAACATGGGCATTTACATAAGTGCCGCTTTTTTATCGGGCCGAACTACGCAGCTCTTATATGCGCAGAATGTCTCGCTAAAATTCGATGGGCCGGTCGCAGAAGAGATGATGGCAGTGGACAAAACGAACGGTTGAGTGGGCCCCTGTAAAATTCTCACGGTCTAAGGGGAAGCCTGCTGCATGATGGGCCCATGCGCTCGTCGATCACGCAAAACAGCTCCGAATGCAGCTGAGCGATTCCCTTGTCACCATCTTCGTCGGATCCGAGTCATCTTTTGATGGCGAACCCAAAAGACANGAGCGAAAGGTTTATTGCTGGTGCACGCACATAAATGAAAATGAGCCGTATAAGAGAAGTATTGTTTTTTCAAACTGATATTCTTCCTATTCTAGTCCCGTTCTGTGATTTCTAATGTTTCGTACTTAATTTGGGAGATGTTCATCAGCACTACATAGAGTTACGAAGTCTAGCTTGGTATATGTAGGGTGGAGATGGTTAAGGGCAACATTTGCATACCCACACTTTCATGGACCGGGGATCGAGCCACCAATCTATGTGAATCAAGCCTTCCATCACTCCGGGGTAATTTATCATACTAAAACGGGATTGAACGGGATTAATCTCAGAATAGGTTATTCTTCACCCTTATAAAGAAATATATTTTGTTTGAAGAAAAATTGTGGATTGTTTTGAAAATCAGGCTTGCGGAATAGGAGGCTGACTGAAATTGATCTTCGTCATCCATAGCAAGAGACTATCCCATAATGTAAAGTTTATTTTGTCAACATACTCTGAAGATTCCAATTTTTGGTTGTCTTGCAAACACTGCCGTTTTTCTTGCAAAAACGATTTTCACGTCACAATTTAAAGGTTATTTGCTGAGCCATGGAAACCAAGAAAGCTTACCACTCTCATCGCTTCTGGAACCTAGTAGAATTTCGTCAGGAGATCGTTAAGAAAGAGGAAATTACAAAAATGACTGATTTGTGAGTGTAAATGAAAAGTTAGGTGTCTTCGAGAACGTCTTCGAGAGTAACACATTAGAATTGACAGTGTAGGGGAAGTGCATTCGAACGATGGTCAAAATGCGGACGTTGGCGTGGAGAAGTGGTTCAATCATTGCAAGAAAAACCAATTTTGAAAATAAAATGTGAAAGTGTTTGTCGGACAACTCACTTGTGAATTGTTCAAAAAAGGGTCGTGGCTCAGTAGGGGTGAGGGTACGTCAGGTCTGGTTACTTGCAAAAGAGAGCAATTTTGCTGATTTTCGTGGACACGACATATCGATTCCCGAGCCAGAATTTCTTCCCAGACCGTGACTATCCTCAGGCATAGCCCTGTTTTACCAAATATTACCAAGCATTTGATATGAAGTCGTCCAACTGAATAACGGGGGGTCAAGCGTTCGTCATGAGGTGTTCCCCATTAAATTTCACCTGATTTAAATTAACTGTCATTCATTACTGTTATTGTTGTTATTTACTAATAGGGTGCCAAAAAAGTTCCTGTTTCAAGAAGAGTTCATTCGTCTCATGGAACATGCTAGAACAGTGAGATAATGATATCCTACATCTTTCTCAATGATCTATGCATGCTTATGATTCAGAACCACACTTTCCTTTAAATCCATACAAAATCCTGTGGCTTGATAAATGATTTTCCACGAGTGCGCTTCGTTGCGCGCGTCCGTCAAAACTAGGTCACACCGCAGCCGTCGCATGCGGCAGGTCAGCCTGCGATACTTGACAGACTTCGCAGTTGTTATGGGAGCATACGAATTGCGCTTTGTCCACGGCATTCAGCTTAAAGAGAAAATAACACAAACAAATGCAAATCATTCGCTTCACTGATACTTGGTGGTAGTGTAATGTCATCCTGAGACCTCAGTGGGCTATGGCGCGCGCGAAATGGGCGGGGTGACCTACTTTCGACGAACGCGCGGAATAGACGTCCCCCGTGTTTGCCCCACTATCATATTCGAAAAACAAAATATGAATGAATTGCTCAATTCCATCGCCCTACTATTTCATCTCCGGTAGTTCGCTGCGACGTTTCGAAATGAATGCATTGTGTTGAATACTATCGTAATACAATGAGGAAGGACAGGGTCAGTGATATCTCACACCTTGTATAGCATCAGTTTGGGGTAAAACAAATAAGAGCCCCCTACAACGTTGTCTGTGGAAACCGAAAACTCGGGAATTGCTTAAGTTCCATTTATTCTAAACATTGGAAGACGAAGTATTTCTGAATTATCGCGATTCTGGTCTCCAAATGTGAAACCGGTTATTTTAAGGTGATAATAAGAGGCTACACTTTTGTTTAATTCTATGCTAGCTATGCTGGCTTCGAAGATTACTGGGTGCGTGCATGAGGGAAACGAGTAAACGAGTAAGTTCGCTGCCAGGTATTTCGTTGTTGCATTTGGAGGGCAAGATAATAATAAGGGCGGTGGGTCGTAGTGGCCAGTGGCATCACATGGTCTCGGGACCGATACCCGCTCGAGGATGCAGCCCTCCATTCTCCAAGGTCGGTGATTGTTATTGGACTTGTGGGAGGATAAAAAATCTATTTGTACGTATATCGGCTGGCCATCGCAATTCATAGTATAGGCTTTTAGAACGCGACTATGATTTTGAATGGAAGCGAATGCAGGGCGCGTTGCAGAAATGGATGAAAATGAAGGAGCATTACTCTCAGATCAGTGACAACCCATGAGTCCCTCCAAGAACTGACGATCGTAAAGAGACTCACATGAAAGTACACGGATCCTTGTCTGCAACGACATGATAACACAATATTGTGACGAGAAAAAGCAGCATCAACGCCACACCAAGAGGCTTTTTATTCAAATGCGAACACTCAAACATAACCATAGTCATTTCCTTATGGCGCGGCATTTCAATGTCAAATTGAGAATGGTGGCGATGTGGAGCGCCGAGAGAGCACAGTGAACTGACGCGATTATAATTTGATTGATCTAAGACGAAGAAACCATACGTTTGGGCTGAGAAATCGAAGCGATAAACCATCATCGGGAGCTCACTTTCCTTTTCCGTACCAATGACGTGATGATCGGTTGATTGTCAACCTAACTTTTCCAAAAAACTACACAGCAAGCTGACGGAGCTGCGAACTTATGGGCGGGTTCAAAGCGGATTCTAAGAAATATAAGGCCTCAAAAAAGAAGCAAGAAAGGGGTTGTACGAGATTGTGTGTCTGTTATTGTCTAGGTGTCTCCCATATAAGCGTACTATTCCCTGGCGCTTTAACGCTCCATTGTGAATAATGCAGCCTGTAGCGGTCACCATAACCCGACCACCTTTGGGCGTGTACGGCGGCCAAGCCGGATTTGGGGCCCTTATAACGCCCTATCGTAGTCACTTTCCGATCCGGCAGTGTCCCATATGCTTGGGCGGCCACATATTCATACTAACCAGATATCTCAGAAACCAATTCCATCGACAATTGAACCTTTTAAATATGCGTTTAGTTAGCGGCTACTATTCTGTAGGTTCCAGTTTGCACTTCCCAGTGAAGGTAATTACCCTAATTTATGAGCACCCTTCCTTTCTTCTGCTTTGCATGTAAGAGAATTACTTCGATGAGCTTAATTTTTCCTCCCATTCCTGATTACTTTTATACATTTCTAGTGCTCTCTCTCCCTTCATATGTATCTCCTTTCTCATGCTCTGTTCTTTTTACTTTCCTAACCCTCCACGTCGAGCTTAGCACTAAATAGAGAGGTCGTAGCGTTTCTGCGAGGCATACTTCAGAAACTCAGGGGAGAAGCATTGTCGATTTAGCCTCAAGGGAACGTTTACTTTTCGAAACTTCTGTTTTTGCCGGTTTTTGCCTGACGGTTTTTGCTTTTATTTTCGGAATTTGCTCATTTTTACGTTTGCTTTTGCCGTTCATAATCCACTCGTCTTCTATGCCTTTTTAGAGGAAAAGCCGTCCTATCCTCATTTTTGGCGACTTTTTTCTCAAAGAACCTTGTTTCGTAATTCATGACAAACTACTCAACATTGTCTAGGAATTGATCCAACCAAAAGCAACGTTCGGATCAATAGACGAATTACTTTTCCCCAGAACACAATTTATGATTCAAAAGCTTCAGTGTAATGTCGTGAGACATTATCGATACGCTCAAGAATTCACTCATATTTCGCCTTCCGGGCATCGTCGGCTCGCTGGCGCTGTTGCCATGGAGCCGTCAGTTTGGACCAGGTGAGCGCTTGTCGACCGACAACGCGGCTCACAAAGTCCATAGCTTTTCGAAAATAACTTCATCTTCCCTCATCCACAAATGGGACTTCTTGACATTATCAAATCGTTCAAGTCGAATAATGGACGTGAGATTAGGATTCTACTTCTGGGACTCGACAACGCTGGCAAGACGAGTATTCTGAAGCAGCTTTCAGCCGAAGAAATCACAAACGTTACACCAACTCGTGGATTCAATGTGAAGAGCGTTGTCACAAACGGCGATATTCGGCTGAATGTCTGGGATATCGGTGGCCAACGATCAATAAGGCCATTCTGGAGTAACTACTTTGAAAATACGGATGCACTGATCTATGTGATTGATTCAAATGATCGGCGACGTTTCGATGAAACTAGTGTGGAGCTAATGGAACTACTGGATGAAGAAAAATTGAGGTTTGGTTTCCTTTTCTGTTTCTTCTTCTTTTTTATTTTTATTGTGGAAGACCTTCCCACTTTTTCCCGAACTCCCCTCTGGACAGGTGCTGCAATAGTTGATGGACGTCCAGTAGCTGTCCTTATATCATTTTTGAGCTCTCTAAAAGTATCGAGTTTACTGGTGAGGTTCCGGCCCTGTAATTTTACTGGTTGTGGTTGCTTACTGATGGCATTCCATGCTCAGGTCTTCGCTAATCAAGCAGACCTTAGAGGTTCATTATGCCTTGATTCATGCCTGCAAAGACGGCCTCCTTGTATCCGCTCTTGTTCTTCATATCAGAATGAGATGAACAAGACTATATCCCTTTTCAATGACGAAACGCCTTTTGACCCTGTCCCCGGGCCGCAGGTTTGTGGAATTTTTTGATTTGTTGTTAGTGCTTCTCCGAAAGGCTCATGTTCATCTGATGGTTGACGAATATGATCATTCCTTTCATTCCTTGCTACAACGTGCTAAGTTCCAGTCAATTCCCATAGTTTTTGCCACCTAACATATTGTTTTTCATCGTAACTGACGATTTTCTTTCTTATTATATCGCCAACACCATACTAATCAACGCAGCAGACGAGAAATCCACGCATTTCGGATCCCAATCTTTTACCGATTTTCGTAGCCATTGCCCCCTTGGTCAACCGTTCTAATCCAGATTTCAAGCATTGAACTGTTTTAAAAGTGGCTCCTGTGGCTCGTTCAACTCGTTCTGTTGAGGTGGACGTACTTTGGAGAAGAGAACTTTCGAGAAGGGATGCTCTTTGAATAGTCATAGAAAAAAGCGGTTGAGATTGAGAACTGTGTGTAACGAACCTCAAAAAAGACTTCAATTCTCAGTCACGAGCTCTTCTTCGTTCCATTCCAGGAAAGGCGATTCCAGGAAAAATATGAGTCAAGCTGCCAGATCACAACCCTCAACACTCTGCAAGATGGCTGTGCGATAGGGGTGCTGGCTTAGCTTCGAAGCTTTGATTTTGGTCAATAGCTTGTTATTTTGTGGACTAGAACCTAACTTAGAAAACGATGTTTCCCAAATACCTACATCATATTTCCGGCCCCAGTCCTTACCTTCTTTCCCTTTGAACTTGATGAACTCGAACCTCTACAGCTATAGGAAATCCCGTTAGTGATGTGAGCAGTCGAGATTGACCGGTATCGATTATGACATTTTTGCAAAAATACCTCCTCACGACGCCAACCGCAATAATAATTTTAAATTCTTTGAAGGAACGAGGACGGGGAAAATATTGTGAAATTGCAAGGGAGAAACACGCAATCACCCAGGAAACACACAAACGACTGGGGGACAGCAGTTTTAATGGGGATTGCGTGATTCTCTGGTTCTGGAACTGAATTGACGAGACTCCCTACAGTACAGAATAAAAATCACACCTCTGCGACTCAAGGCAGATTTCCTCACAAAATTACCGAGCCGAGCCATTCCCTTTATTCATACTCCGCTCTAAGCAATGACTTTACTGTTTCCTGCCCACNGCGTCAGAGATTTCAAAACGTTTGAAGCTGACCGAGATCCGCGATCGAGTATGGCAAATCCAAGGTTGTTCGGCGTTGACCAATGAAGGTGTCTCCGAAGGAATCAAATGGGTCGCCGAAACTATTAAATCTAAATGAATTGTGATCGTTTATTCCGTATAAATTGTTTTTCAATATTTTGCTGGCATTCTTGCACACCTCTTAGCTTACAGACAAAGTAACGTGTCGTAGATTAACTGATTTTCACCACCATCCAGGTATGCCATTTCAATCCTTTTGACAAGACAGCCATGTCATAGACTCTTATTGAATCTGTCTACGTTTCAGACTCTGAAAAGCTCGCATCCAGTCTCCGAGGAAAAATTCAAGGAAGAAGTCGAAAAGGTGAGTGTTCTGTTTAAACTACGATCTCAATTTTCATTCTGATGGCTTAACTAGTCATGTATGCATTATGTCTGTTTTTTGTTTTTACCTTTGTTTATCATAAAGCGGTACACCACTCGATTAGTGGTGTTCCTAGTTTCTTAGTGAATTTTCTATGCAGTTTGAGCAGGGTCACTGAATTCTGTTGCGAAATTGAACTAACTCGATTTTTGTTACTCCACTTTCCTTCACAAAATTATACCCAAAGAGCTCAGTATTTTTGTGTTGAATGTAGAGCTCAGGATAATCCCTAGGTACATATCTAGCTCAAGGAAATAATGGAGGATATGGGGCAGAATATTGAAAATGGCGAAGGAGGGGCTTCGAGCAATTACGTGTATGTAATCGTCTGGGTGTCTCCCACATAAGCGTTCTACTCTTTGGCGTTCCAATATGTAAATTGTGCAGTTTTAACCTCAGAAAACATTTTTTTTTTCGTAAACTGTGCCTCTTGAATATCGAGTACTTGATCTCGTAGCTAAATTGCGCGAGCCGTCCCCTCCCTTTACCCCCGCTTTACCGTGAGAAAAATCCGGGACTATGAATTACACCCCCTTCCGCATATTTTCACCTTTCCCGTGTGCTGATTGTTTACCTGTTGGAGATTTGATCTAAAATTAGTTTGCCATTTGTTTTTAATTTGACTGTCGTTAATAATTCATGAGAAAATTACTTTGCGTGATAGTATATATTAATGGGCACTTTTCTTTTTTACCGAAGAAAGTATATATTGTGCATTTTATTAGTCTCGAACAAGTGTTTCCAACAATGTTCACTCATTCACTAACTTCCTCTCTCTTTGGGTAGCAGCAGTACCAGCGCTTCATCTTCATCTTCCATGAAAAAATTTTCAAAGAAAAAGAGTCTGCTCCTGCCTTTTTGTTCGTGCCCATCTAAGAAAGGAAGGTTTTGTCACATTTCTTCAGTAGATTTGCTCTTTATATCTACATAGCGACAGTTCTTTATAAATGGAAGAGTAGGGTGATCTATTGAGATTCATGGTGGTTTATATTTATACCGAAAAAATTTCAGGTTTATTGCAGCTCTCTTTGCAGGCTGTAGACTTATTGTATGATGCGGATCACCTACACTACTTCTTTACGGATCGTGACGGAACGCTGAAGAGTTACGCCTGCAGTTACCCATCGAGCATTCAACCGGCTTATTCTGGAGTAATTCAGGTACGCTTCTAGCCACTTCTATAGTTAAAATGTCAGAGACTTTTCGGGAATGGTCCTGAATGACCACATAGACATGAGAGTGCAAAGTAGTGTAGCCAACTCATTCAAACAATAATGTTAGCTTAGGGCAAAATGGAAAGCACTACCAGATTTCTTCCTATAGGAAGAAGATCTTTGACGCATAACGCTTTTCCATCTACCAGTCGCTCGTCTGCGTTTCCGGATAGGAGAGGTATCTATAGGGCCTCAGGACGGGGATGATGGCGGCAATCCTCGAAGTAACCGAAAAGCAGTGGAACAACCAAGAGAGAGTCTACTGATGAAACATCACAGAGCTTTACAGTCCTTCTCTAGAAATGGCCTAAGCCAATAAAAAGCTGCTATCGAGTAAGGCCCTCCTTGCCTCTCCACTCACTTCTCGTTGAAAGGAATTTAAGTTGACGGCAAGTCCGCGGGGGCCAGAAAGCCTTCCCTCCATTAGCGTACGACCCTATACTCCTGTGTGCTATCTCCTTAAGCATCTCAGTCACTTTCTTATAAACTCTTCAAACAAATTATGAAACCATCTCGGCCAGCGCCTCACACCCAGTTTTCTTCTGGGACAAGAAGATCGTTGGCCTGTTCTAGCTGAACGGCTGATGGATGCTGGTGACGATGTAATCTAGACAGAATCAGGAGTCAAATCAAAGTTGTAGAGGATCCATTTGACGTGGTCGTCATGGGTGAATGAAGAGGTTCTCATCACTTGCAATAAGTGTGAGGGTCCCTGGGATAGCATTGAAGTACAGACCGCTCAAAGAGATTACAAAAGGAAGAGTGATTCTAAATTTAGAGTATTGGAACTGATGATTACCACATATAATTTCTTTGGGCCTCATACTGTTGTGCGTATTCCAGGCTCAATTCGCTCGACGATGTGCTCAGACCTGCTGCATTCTCACCACTGCGCCGATGATGCATGTTGGTAGGCTCTCAAAGTGTTCTACTTTTCAGTTCGAATTTTTTAATGGAGAAAATGGACGTCCCGTTTGCTCTACACGATTCACGTTGAGAACAGAGCTCAGTCATGAAAGTGTTTCATTGATTTTGAAGGGATTAATATGTTGGAGAGGATATTAGAAGCTTGCCGTTCTGCTAGAGTTTGCTATATCTGATTTGAAGATGTCTTTTTTCCTACAAGAAGATGATCGGTGAAATATGATGCCTACCCTTCCAGCTACTAACTTTCTACAACCTTATTGAGAACCGTCATAATCTGATAGTAGTTCAATCTTGAATAATTACCTCAGTTGTGAATGATTTCTTTAAATGAGAGCGTACTGGTCATTGGCATAGTATTGTATTTCACCGGCTTCTTACTCATCGCTTGGACTCCTTCAAATTCTATTGTTCGCTGCTAATTAAGAGAAAATGCATGATTGATAAGGTTCAATGACCCCATGCAGGCATTTGCCCTTCAAGACAAGGTCCTATATAGAGCGAAGAAAAAGGAACAATCGAAGTGATAAAAGGCAACACCATGGTCTACGAGAACCTTGTAGACCCACATCCTTTGCTAGAAAGGGAAAGCCTACACAGAACTGCTGGGGACGTTCTGAAAAGTGGTCCGCTCTTATAATCAAAGCCCCATGNAAGGTTTAAATGACCCCATGCAGGCATTTGCCTTTCGAAGACAAGGTCCTATATAGAGCGAAGAAAAAGGAACAATTGAAGCGAAAAAAGGCAACACTATGGTCTACAAGAAGCTTGTGATTCCACATCCTTTGCTAGAAAGGGAAAGCCCACACAGAACTGCTGGGGATGTTCTGAAAAGTGGTCCGCTCTTATAATCAAAGCCCCATGAAGTTAGATAGCTTTATCCTCTCAAATTTTTGATATTAGCACCTACACTGTGAAGACAGACTTGCCTGTGTCCTTTTCAGGAGTACTCGATGTCTCCACGATACCACCAGGGTACTACTATTATGGTGCATCGGCTGGACGAGAATGGTTTATAGATCCAACCAACAAATTTAAGGACACAAGCATCCCTGAAAAGCATTTACAGCTTCTTGATCAAGTCAGTTTTTGGAATTATAAAGGTACACTCACGAGGACGTTTTTGTGGCTGACTTTGTGACACCTTTCGTCAAGTTCTCTTATAGCTTCCTAAGGGAGCAATTACAAACGAATATAATTACATTATCGCGAGTAGGTAAAGATTGTGTGGGAGTAAATAGTTTGTTCGTCTGAGGAATTCATCAGAAAAGGGAACTTCAAGATAGAATCAACTGCTGAATTACACTCGTTGTTGCAATACAAGTTTTCCCTGTGTTCTCGAATGTCTGAAAGCCTCTGACGAGCGAAGCTAGATTTTGGCCAAAGAGTAGAGCCAATGGTGGTTCACGTATGTAAGCCTACTACTATTCTAGGAACCCACCTGCTCGCTTGCAACTCGAACCCTTTTGCGGGATTGATTCATGGAGCGGCCACGGTTGCTCATCATGCGCTTTCAAAATGCAAGCTGTTGGTTACTGCATCGTGGTCGTATTAAAATAGATCTTAGTAAAGTAGTAAGTCAAGCTCGCACTTGAAAGCGTGAATTGGGAACCAGAGATCACGGGCTTTATATTCACTGGTAAAGCTTGCGCTAAGACATTGCTATTGTGAGGGCATTCAGGTGTTTCAACTTATTCAACAACTATTGGAACGGCAGGAATTCCGAATGTTCACGTGGGTCGGCTCCGGATTACAAAAACACTATGGACATGTCACCATTGCACATCAGGATATCTACGGTTCAGTGAGTTCTATTCACTATTTCCTTTTTGGATTAATTAGTGATCGCTGAGGTGATGGATTTTGAACGAGAAGGCACCTTTCTTCCACTCACATGAAATGTACAGTATGCCGTTATGAAGTTGAATATGAATGTGTTCACAAACCGAAAAAAAAAACCGAAGCCCGTTTGATGGGTTTCAGCTGAGTTTCTGAATGGCCTAACTCTGTCCTTCTAAGGTCAACAGTCAAGTCAGTGAAGAACTGTTCGAAGAGATTCATCACATCGTCAGCATGCTCGATCCCGACTCAACCGTGCTGGAAGTGAAGACATCCAAACTTGACATAAAGATTGTGTTAAAGGTAGGCTTGATTATGAACCGGCAGAGTTGAAACTTACAGTAGCGATGATCTGTACTAGGGAAATGCAGTCTTAGGTATAACCACAGTGGTTGTTGTGGTTCCCCGGTAATGCCGGAGTTCGAGAGGTCACATACACCAATAGTATAGTCTTGTTCCCAACATACCGCGCTCTCTACAGTTGCCGCGTGTCGGATCTTGCAGTAGAAGGATAAGATTTGGATTTTCAGAGGATGCTCACGGTAAGTGCAGCCGCCGCTTGGAGACTTCGAGCGCAGAGTGTGTCATGATTGAAGGCGCTGGTTACCACTGTATGCCCCCTCGCCAGAGCTGAATTCTCCGCTACCAGCATCAACTACACCCTTTCGGCACAGTATTAGGCCAATGACGTCAGGACGCATCATTCTGAAGTCCTATAGGCTTTTGTGCCTATAGTTAAGTGCCAACGTCACAACGTGTTTCCGCGGTAGGATGCAGCAGCGGCCATTGAATAACTGTTTGATCCCCATCATCAGATGGCTTCTTTTCTGAAGTTGGCCTTCGCCAAATGCACTGCTCAGAGCGTTCCCAAAATCAGAAAAGAGGTGGTAAGCTGGGAAAGCCCCCTTTTCCACTTTCTAATGGGTTTTTAATGCCGATAAGCAACCCAAAAAAGAATAGGTAAATAGGGAAAAATAGGAGATATAGTAATCCATGACTTTCTTGTTTTCACGCTTGGTTCTAGAGAAATTGCAAGAAAATGACACTGATAAGTTCCCTTCTGTTGCGATTAACAACGTGGTATCATGACTTTGAAACTGGGAGTGAAGGGAACCCTAAATAAGAGAACAAAGCGGTATGAGCTGGTGCGTTGTGATGTCAACTTATTCCCTGTTACCACATGATTTCACACTTATGATACTTCATTGTGGTTGACGACAAACTCTTATATCCACGTCGATTCACCCACTGAAGTGCATCGCTGTCGTCGCTGCGAAGAAGGTTTTATGTGCTTCGTACCCTGATTGCCGTTCCAGGCATCGCTTCGTCTTCGTCACGCAACCCCTAATCTTCTTTAACGTTGGGCATCCTTGAAATCTGTTTTATTAAACATGGTCCTGAATGTGTCTCTAATTAATGCTTCAATCAATAGTAAAAGTAATGGGTCTGTCGTGGTGGTAACTGTGTTACTTTGTTCCGGACCTAGGAAGAGCTGTTTATTTACAGGGAAAAGGAACTGAAGAACCTTTCAACAAGGGCGATGGAATAAGGATGCTATGCGAAAAAATGAAATGTGATCTAAAGGTAAAGTGTTTTGTCATTTTAGTATTGGATGAGTTGTATGTTGAGCTTCGAGATGGAGCGTGGAAAATATTATCAGCTGCTCGAACAAATACTTTCTCTACCATTAACTTTGATTTCAACGGGAGGATCACTGACTCAATTCTTTCGACTAGATATTCTCCGACTTCCTAATGATTCTCACTTTATCTGTTTATTTAATTTGCTCACAAAATTCAATTCTGCATTCCTTGGATTCGAAATCTGTTATGTCACAAATCTTTCAACGATTTTAATCCCTTTCAGGAAGGGAACATACTGGTATGCGGTGATTCAGCCACAGATTTGCCTATGCTGGAGGAGTGCTTGACGCGAAATCCCTCCGGTGTTTACACGATATGGGTCACCACAGACGAGCCGCTTCAACAAAAGGTAATGGCTAAATCTCCTACATGTAGAGCCGACTTGAATTTTGTCTGAGAGCAAGCTTCCAAATCTGATAACCTATCCTCCAAGTAGATCCCCCATAAACAATCAAAAAGAATCGTGGTTATAGCGCCAAATAGCTTAGGTTTTCCCAAAGAAAGCTGGTCGTTGATCGTAAGCTGATCGTTTCTTCAGTACTTTAGCATTAGTAAATATGGAAAGGAATGCTCCCTCAGACAGTAGTTAGTTGGCTCAGACTGATTTCAAATCTCATCATAAATCATTGCTGCTGCCAGTTTATGTTACCCATACCTTCAACTCGACCAATCGGATTTGGTTTCCGGGCAATGTATGTCGTGGAGCAGGTGCAACACCGCTAGTATCCTGTCTCCGACTGTTAGGGAGCTTCATCGAAAGTTCCTCTTGTTTAGCAGAGATGCAACCTCGTCTTGGAGCTAGGTCAGGGAGGGGTATATCGGACGCTATCTAAAATTTCTAAAAGTCCTAAATGTTCTCAAGTTTTCTATTCAGGGAAATTTTCAGTTACTTGTTATTACTAATTTTAGGTCCGAGATCTGTGTGGGTCGCATAACAATACGAATATCGCATTTGTATCTTGCCCAGAAGTTCTTCTGGGTGCAATGGCACAGGCTACCATACGCGAGATCAGCATCGTTCGACGTGACTAATAACTTTTCTATGAACAAATTCCTGCACATACATAGTCAAGTATCAAGGTTTGTGTGTCAAATCGCACATTCCCTTGTTTTTCACTCTTTACGGGCGTGTGGTGGCATTTCGGCTGCCTGCAGCTACTCTTTATTGACCTATGCTGTTCATTAAGGGTCCCCAAAATGAACTTCTTGAACTCTCGAACGAAATACTATTTGCTCACNTGTTAGTGAGATTTTATTCAGTTTCATGCGTCATCAGGCTTGTTAGAAGATTCCGTCGGCGTGTAATCTATTTTTACTTTTTTGTCTATGCTCCGATGCTATTGCGATTATGCAGCCCTTATATCGCTTTTGTACTGACCTTTGTTCGTTACCTCTTATCGTGTAGCTCAACAGTATAAGATGAAGAGGTGTAAGCAGATCTTCTATAGAGTCATTATTTGGTCACGAATAAACTTTTAAAGATATTCTTGTTGGGGAAATACAAAGAAATACGACACATCATACTTGTTTTGCTACCCATCCTTACTATATATGAAACGCTTCCGTCTGCCTGTCTGTTTGCTTGTTTGTTTGCATGTACGGAAATTCGTTATTACCCGAAGGAGCCCCTGCGAAAGTTGGGTCAAGTTCGGAATGGGTTGGGCATAGGAAAAGACTAACAGAGCACATGTGACAGCGGAGCCCCGCCCACAGGAGGCGGGGCACGCACAACAGTGGGCGTTGTCTTGGGCATAATGTCTGAATTAGGTTTCATAAAAACAGAGACACCGGGTAAAAATGGACGAAGGTGAGGGATCGTCAACAAGGGAACTGAAGGAGACTCGCCGGCGGTGGGCGGAGCGTTCCCGCACTCATCACATAAGACCATAACTCGATTCAGGGAAAGCACGGAGGCTAGAAAAAATAGTAAACGAAGTGAGTAAAGTCTTATGCGTGCTGGGCATACGTAAGCATGTCGAAGCTCCGCACACAATGGGCAGGACGTGCATTCAAGTGTTGGCTCCTTTTTAAACACGTTCTATAACGTGGAAAGCAAGTGGTTAGAGCTATAGAGGACAAAAACGTCCCAGAACGCGGAAAAAGAGTGGTTGGAGATAATAGAAGGAATGTGTTCGAATCATGGAGTGGGCACGGTTGAGATCAAAATCCATAAATTCGTTCGAAAATGTTCTAGAACGCAGAAACAGCGTGTCTGGAGGTAATAGAAGCAATGTGCCCATATCCCTGGAATTGGCAGGGTTTGCGGTAAAGTGGACGAGGCAAAGATAGAAAATTCACAACTCTGTTCAAAAACGTTTCAGCATGCGGAGAAAATGTTCAGGGGCAAAAGTCCCACAAGGGTGGCGAGTTGTGGACAAAACTTCGGTCTCGAGCGGAGCTCGAACTCGTACTTGTGCACACATACCAAACTGCCCGAATAGCACAAGTAGTCCGAGGCCGAAGTTTCGTGCATATCTTGCCAGCCTTGTGAGACTTCCGCATTGCGTACTGCTGCTAAAAAAACAGCAGTTTTTTTTATTTATTTGTTCATTTATACAATCCACTGAGCACGCCACAACTAGTTGCAAATAAACCGCCAGCCGCCACTAAACAAGAAGAGATCAGGAAAGGAGAAAGGACAAAAACACCGGTGTGTAACAACCTCAAGAAGCTGCATCGATAGTGAGTGCAACGAAGATGCCCTTATATTCAGTAGCCGTGCCAAATAGCCATTGAGACATCATTTTTTAAGGAGTCCGAACCAACCAACCAGGACCAAGTCGGAACTTCGGCACACGGGTACACCAACCTCCCTCGTGAAACCAACTTGTATGCTACTGGCTGAACGGCGAGAAGTGAACAGTCAAGTCGGACTTTTCGCCAAACTAGAAGCATCGAGATAAGCAGACTTAGCAACGGTGGCGATGGACTGCAGGCTCAAGAGCGCTAAAAAAATACAAAGCAAGCATAGAAAATGAGAACAAGAGAAAGAGGCTCATAGAGAGACATAGAGAAAGGTAGGCTCGTGAAACAAAGTTCTTATTTAAAAAAACGGTGGCGCAGACGTCCATTCGAGGGGAACTTACTCCAGGAAGACCACTCGACAAAAAGGCAGGGAGAAGCAGAGTAGATGCAAGGTAAATACAACAGAACGGACGCCTTGAAGTCAATTGTTGAGATAGGGAAGCATTCAATGGCGAGCATAAGCAGAACATGGATACCCGAGAAACGATAGCGGCACTTCTGAAGATTGCATTCTTGAAGATTGTGCAGAAAACGAAAAAAACTACATTCCTTATATGTTATTCGAGACTATGGTCAGAGTTCACGAGAATTCCTAAATCACGTACTTCATTAGCTTTATTGAGAAAATAGCTACCAAACTTATATTTCTAGTATTCTGTCCTACCAATATGTAAAACAGACGTTTTGGATAGAGTGAAAGGTATATTCCAAGCCGAGGCGCACTTCAACATGTTCGAAGTGGATTAGGAAAGAGCACAAGGTACCTTATCATGGTTATTTGGATATCATCCGCATACATGTACTTCAAGCGAATGACGAGTTTTGAGTCTCTCCGGTAAATCACGAGTATACACTAGAAATAGAAGTGGCGCTAACACACCTTCCTGGAGAACGCCGCTTTTACACGCGTAGAAGGAGAAAGTTGGGAACACTTCCTCCCTCAGGAAGAGGGGGTGAGGGAGAAAGAGTCCCCAACTTTTACACACATTGTCCAATCCGATAAATAGGAGCAGATCCACCATAACAACGATACCTCAATACCTAGCTGTTGCAGTTTTAATATCACTTTATAATGATCGACTCAATCACGCGCCTGTGTCAAGTCGGAATAAAGAACATTTTTGCATCTCCAACACTGACCGCCATAGTCTCGTCGAAAAGGCAGTCAGCCAGCTGGGTAGCAGTCGCGGCTCCAGTCACGCGCCCGTGCTGCTCACCAGGAATCAAATTTTCTTTGTTAAGTCATCCAATGATTTTATTGCGGAAGGTCCTCTCCGGTACTTTCACTGAAAGTGTTACAATGCTGGTACGACGAGGAGACGAAAGAAGAAACGAATCACCGTCTTATGGAGTAGCTGCTACAATAGATTCCTTCCACAATGAGGGAACCTCGAAAACAGCAGCAAGGCATTGATGATCGTAGTTAGGGGTTTGGGTGAAAATGTGGTTGGGGGAGGTCACCTATCACTACGTTATTTTAACATGGAATGAACCCGTTGAAACCTGTTATGCCATGTTACATCAGGGACACGTCAATTTTTTACTAAGCTTTAGGAGCGAAAGAGCACCGCGCTGGGCAAGTTTTCTTTCTTTTCGTACCCATCCACCCAGTGTTCCTGCCCTACTTCAGCTTAGTTAAAAAACTACATTTCCTAGGCAGAGACCGCATAAAAGAACACAGTCCCCGTTGCCCTCTTCATCTCTGATAGATTGCTAATATAACAAGGATTAACACGTTAGGTTGAGTTCATTTCTTGATATACTAACCTTTAAATGGGTGGCCCCTCTCCAACTACATTTTCACCGTGGTTTGTAAAGGGAGTAAGCACATTTCTTTTAGAGAATTTGCGGAATTCTATCAAACATAGCGGAGGTCGAGCGCTTAACTGATTTCAAAATACTCAGCTCTTCCCGCAGATGGACCTATACGGATGCCATTAGCTCAGGAGAATCGCAGGAATACTGCCCATTAGAGAATTTGAGTCTGTTGTAAAAACCGATGCGGAGTCTACCCAAAGCCTTAGTTTTATCCTAAGCCTATTAAACCGTGGCGGCTTACGGCAAGGAATCAGCACTGCATTCTGTACCATTCGTATGGAAGAAACCGCTAAACGAGAGAGCACAACCTCGCGAATTGTGAAGAGTAGTGGAGAGAAGTGAAATTCATCGAAAGGTACCACTCAAAAGCAAATCGGAACATGTTCAATGTGGGCTGTGGCTGAAAAGAGACCATTAATATTAGGGGCATTTGAAGGAATCAATACGCCGTCGAATCCTAGACAGCATTCATTCTTAGCGCTGCTTCATGAGAGTCAGATCGAACAGTTGATGCCGTCATAATGCAGATTGTCGTTCGCAACAAGCCATAACTACAATAGCGCTCAAAAGTCTTCGGCCAAATGCCTTTACGCTTTTTCGTTTATAACTGTCTTCCAAACCCGCGATCCTAAGCTTCTCTTCAGACTGTTCGCCATTTATGTGAGACCTTCGATCAAATATTGTACGCCTACATAAAGCATTTCTTATTGAGAAAGTTGAGCAGGTGCAGAAGCGTTCCACTTACAGGGTTTTCGCTCTAAAGGGTTTGTAGAGAGTGTCATATGTGACTCGCCTTACCCTTCTTGACGCACTAACGTCAGAGGATCGGCGAAGCATTGCCGACTTAAACTTTTTGTATAAAATTGTATCCCATGAAACCGATATTTTGCTCCCTGATCTGACTCGCATATCTCCATTAGCCAGCAACACTAAGGGCCGTCCCTACAGGCTCTGAATAGATGGTGCAAATAGTGCGTCTTATATAGGATCGTTTTCTTGCAGCGTTGTGCTCCCTTAGATTAACATTAGTAATAACTTCTTCACTTTAGGAATGCTACAGGCTTCAAGTCAGCTCTGCGAAAAAATTCAAAAATCGCTTGTTTGCTGGCGCCAAATGTCTGAATGAAGAAGGGTAATTACTATTTTCCTTTTGCGTCCCCATCGTGTGCTAGGAACGTTTCATAAATGATGCCAGTTCAGGTCTACTTGTTTACTGCTCTACTTTTCCTGAATTGTGGCCTCACTGTTTCAGTGTTTCTGTTTGTTTTTTCTGTTGTTTTGTTTTTTGCTTATTTTTATTTCTTTTATCTTACTGCGACTAAAGAGGCCCACTCATTTGCGACGGACATGGGAGTCACCTGGTGGAGAGTTCCATAGTGAAATAGACTGGACCACATCATCTTCAATCGGAGATTTTGCCTGACTGACGTCGCTGTTTTTCCGAAGTTCTACAGTGGCTCGGATCATCG